CTTGGGTGGGACGGATACCTGTTTTTGACAGGTACCCGATCCCACTTCCAGCTCAGTTCACCATGACGAAGTGAGCCGGAAGTTCGGCCCCCTCCTTCCTCCTGCAGTCTCCTGGGAACTTTCACAGGTTCCAGAAGACTGCAGGACCAATTAGGAGGCGCAGCATGACTCGCGCATGCGTAGTGGGCACCTGGCTGTGAAGCCGCAAGCAGTCACAGCCCGGGTCCTCAGTTGAGATGCTGGTGCAGTGGAGGAGAGAAGGGGAAAAGGGATGGCATGGGTGAGAACATTGCTGGACCCCGGGACAGGTAAGTGTGTGTTTATTAAAAGTCAGCAGCTACAATTTTTGTAGCTACAGACTTTTAATTAACACAAAAACAGCTGAAACTTAGCAAAGTGCATTTCACCAAACTTAAAAAAATAAAATTAAGCTCTGTTAATTTAAATCAACCAATCGTGTTTATTTATTCTGCTTCACACATGATTGGATGTTAAGCCTGGGTTCACATATGTGCAGCTCCATATATCGCATGTGATTCGCACAGGAACCGAACCGCATTCCTGAGCAAATCACATTTTGTATGGCTCTAATCGTGCCGCATCCGCACCAAAAATGTGCAGAACCCTTTTTTGGGTTCACACTAGAATTGAAACTAAATATCCCTATTTATTGCATAGTCTGCTTGAAAGGGAATATACCAGTGTGCAGAGGGTTCTTCAGAATTTCTACTGTTAATATGTGGTTACACCCCTTTAGCACCTGATGGATAAATGCATGTACTAGCTGTTGGGATTTGAGCACAGGTATATCTTGTTTGTTGTATTGTTGGGTCAGTAGCCAGACCTGAACCTTGTAGCTCTCCTCATTGTGTCTTTTCCCCAATGTTAGCATTGTGTCCACAGTAGCATTTGCGTAGGCAGAACAGAGTAGGACTGGCCATAAAGGGATTACTTAGACACAGTTGGCCAGCTTAAGCATGTATTGCAATATGTGTGAACTAAAAATCCCTATTTATTGCATAGTCTGCTTGAAAGGGTATATACCAGTGTGCAGAGGGTCTTTCAGAATTCCCACACTAGAATCGGATCGCATGGGTATTCACACCTATGCAATCTGATTCTTCACAAAGCACCACGTTATGAGGACTTCTTTTGGGGTGTTGGTAACTTAACATACACACCTGCAGCGGTTCACATGAACGGGGTGCGATTCTGATGCGGTGCGGAATTCGCACTGAACAGGTTGTGAATTCCGCACAGCATCAGTGTGAACCAGAGCTCAAGGTGAACACAGATTCAACTTCTGTAGGGAATCAATCTGAATGGCTGAACTTGCATTAACAAGAAGACAAGAGTCACTAAAAAGTTATTGGCTTGAGATAAAGTTTTATAAATATGCTGATCACATACACACCAACACATCTCCCATACTTTGCCAGGGAACTGCATTTATTTCCAACAGACTGTGGACGTTCACCACACATAATTACTTCACAAATGTGCTGTAATGATGAATTATTGCTGCACTGCAGAGCATTGTTTTTTTTTTCTGTAATATGAATATACACAGTGTGAATCATTACTGAATTCATGCATATAATAGATGCATCCAGTGAATGGCCAGTGGGACCATCAGTCAATGTGAATATTGTCATGTTTTGCTTGGAATGTAAGTCATCCAATTAGACTGAATAATTGCACAGAAATGAAACGGCTGTTAATTTGTGGTTGGGATCTTATCAATGTTCCAAACACAGCAAGAGATGAGTTTTAATATAAAGGCTACAAGGAATGAGGAATGTGTGTAAACTACCTGCAACAGACATGATTCATATATGCATACAATACCTATTACCATGGGATAAAGGAACCAGAACAAAGGCCCTATTTAAAACAAAAGTTGGAATACGCTTTTTGCACACGCCACAGGACATCGCTCTAATTGCTTCACAATCTACCTGCATATTACATTTTATGTATAACATGCATAGTTCATTTTGGAGCCGCTGACACCCCAGGGTGAGTTCTTTGCAAAATCACTCTGGATAAGAGGAAAGACTTGTCAGTCATATGACAGGTTTCCTCCCCCTGGCATCTTTTTCCCCATTCAAAAAAAGAAATGGGGCTTCAGAACAATAATTTAAAGATGGACTGGTATATTTTAACTTATGATATGGTTATGATAATGCCACACAGCTTCTTTATAAGGCTGCGTTCAAACTGATCCGTTTTTCTCTTGTGTTAAAAAAAGCAGGAGAAAAACGTGTGATCATGTAATCCTATGGAGCTCTTCACACTGAACTATTGCAGGTCCACTGCGTTTAGTAAAATTCTGCTTGCTGCATTTTTGAGCCAGGTTTGGTGCAGTAAAAAAAAAACTTAAAAAAACACCCCTCTCCCTATCAAAATGCATGGAAAGTGCAGAAAAAAATGCACCAAAATGCGTTCCATTTTTTTTTTTGAGTTCTTGAGTCACATGTTCTGTGTAAAACACACAGCAAACGCGGAAAAAAACATGGCAAAAATGCGGCATTAACAAATATGCGTATTTAGCACATATTTGCTACAGATCAATGTGAAAGTAGCTTTAATCAGCCCCAAAGTGAGGCTAACTGTAGATTTGTACAGCACTCACAAAACAATGACCAGCTGTGCAACACTATTACAAATGAGTGTCAATATATACAAAATAAACATCACTGTAGCTCTAAGGCTACTTTCACACTGATCCATAGCAAAAAAATGCTAAAAATGCAATGCGTTTTTGCTGCGTTCACGTTGTGTTTTACACAACACAGCACATGTAACTCAAAAACAGCATAAAAACAACATAGGTATGTTTTTGATGCGTTTTTACAGCATTTCCCATACATTTCAAAGGGGAGGTGCATTTTTGGTGTGTTTTTTTAAATGCATCAAAAATGCAGCAAGCAGAATTTTACTAAATGCAGCAGACCCTCAATGGCTCAGTTCCATAAGATTACATGGTCACATGTTTTTCTTCTGCTTTTTTTAATACAAAAGTGGAATAAAAATTAATCAGTGTGAAAGCAGCCTAAAACCTTTACCACATAGACGCATTTAAGCATACACCTTTGCGAATGGCCTAGTTTGCCCCTAAAAGATGTGTAGGTGTTGCGTGCAGGGGCGGACTGACAACACATGGGGCCCCGGGCAATAGGGGATCATGGGGCCCCTGTGTCCTGGCCCAAACTCAAAAAAGCCTATGAAAAAGGTACCAGGGGCATCTCATGGGGCCCCCTATTGACCCTGGGCCCTCGGGCAGTGCCCGAGTTTCCAAATGGTCAGTCCGCCCCTGGTCGCGTGCCTCCGTGTGCAGGCAGTCCCATTCACTTCTATTGGGATGCAGTGGCTGTAAAGCGCCGCTGGCCCTAATCTGACAGCCGAGCAGGTTCTAGTGCATGTTCCTAAACACAAAAGGGTTGATTTACTAAAGCTGAAGCGTGTAATATCTGGTGCAGCTGTGCATTGTAACCAATCAGCTTCTAACCTCAGCTTGTTCAATTAAGCTTTGCCAATAAAACATGGAAGCTGATTGGTTTCTATGCAGACCTGCACCAAATTTTGCACTGTTCAGTTTTAGTAAATCAACCCCAAACTGTCTGCATTCAGGGACATGCACCTACATGGATGTCAAATTGGGACTGGCCCTGATGAAGGGGGGAGTTTTTTCTGACCCCTGAAATGCATTGGATGTTTTTTAGTATAAACTAGTATATTAATTTAAACTATTTTATCCTTTGGTCTGGCGCTCCTTCCATTAGTGCATGTTTTTTCTGGTAACTTGTTAGGGTATGGACTGGAGGGCAGCCTCATCTGTCATGTGCAGCCTAACCTAAGCCAGTGAGCATTCTGAATTTTTTTGTCCTCTCCCTACTTTGTATGAACTCACACCAAAGTTCCTGTGCCTCTTAGATGCTATTTTCTTCATTAAAATTGGGACCAGCGACTGAGTCCATGCCGCCAGTCCATTCCAATAAATATGGAACTGCCCGCATGCAGATGCACGGGACGCCGATGCATTCTGTGTGGGCAAACACCCTTCACACAGATGTGATACACCCATATGAATAAGGCCATAAGACATCACCATCTCCAGAATAGAAATAGATATTTTAGATAGAGCAAGAAAAGTTAAAACCCTTGTCGTTTTTTATATTATTTTTACCATTTAGGTTTCATTGGGGAAGTTTCCCTTCACTTCCTGTAGCCCCAACAGGTAGTGAAAGGAAAATGCTCCAAAGTGAGGGAAATTCAACCTTAGAACGTTGTCACCAGAACAAGGAAGAATTCTCCTCTATTCCTGTTCTGGTAGCAACTCAAAATTTTGGAATTTCCTAGCTCTTTGTTTTCCAGTGATAGTGGTCACCAGGACAAAAAGATGTGTGGGCTACCCTTGCCTACTTCACACAAAACAAAAACAATGTTTTTGGTTTAGATATAGTTTATTCTCAAGATCTCTTAACATTTCTTCTGCGGCCTTTCCTGCAAAAAAAAAGATGACTTGTGGAAGGATCATTTCTTTGGGTCCTTCTTTTCTTTTCAGGTGGTTTAAATAAGTAAGCATTAGCAGAAAGCTGAAACAGGAATAGTTTTTGTGCCAGTCAAGCAGAAAGTGATAGGGGTGTTTTCTGCATGACACCACATGGATACAATAAATTGGGAGAAGGTCAAGACATCATCAAAGATGCCTACTGCTACTCTCCTCCCTAGAAGCAAAGAGTGATGAATACAGGAAGGGAGTCTGACAACAGCCTGAACCACATCTGGGGCAAATGAGCCTATACAATCAATACACCAATAATCAAAAATAAATACGGTATCCCAAAAATAGAAATAACCAATACAACTAACACCTTAAAGCATATAAGTCTAACTTTCACCCTTGAAAGTGTACTAATTAAATCATACCTCAATATGCTCAAACTTTATTTACAAATCAAAAATTAGTGAAAAATTGGATAATAAATGTGAAAAGTGATATCTCCAAAAATTATGAAATAAAATAAATTCTCCAAAAAATCCCAAAAATGATGCACTTGTGTCCAAAGATAAAAGTCATACACTAAATAGATTCCAATGATGCAAATCCAAATCCTCAATAGGGGAACCTTCCAAATGGCTTCAAACGTCAAAGTGAACCTCAAAGAAAAGAAAAACTATATAGTGTATTATCCTTAATTAAAAAAGTGAACAGTAGTAATCAAAATAACCATATGTGCCACTTCACATCATACGTGACCATATAGGTGACCAAGTGAACTCTACATGCTAGTGAATCACTCTTGTGACCAAAAATATCCAAGTGCTGATACCAGTGTACACTTCTACAGTGTAAAGAATAAATACCCTTACCAAATGGCAAAGAAACCACGCTTAATACCACCAAGGGTATAATCAATCCAAGGAAAGCTTTTCCAGCCATTTGTGAATCACTTCCCCATAGTTTGGCCGGAGAGGTGACTAAGGGGTGCTGGGTCTGACCTCTCTGGCTGGGCTCTCTCTGAACAATCAGAGTGTGGACGCTTCTAGTGGTCGGGGGGTATCTGTGTGGAATGGAGAAGGTGGGGGGAGGGGAGGTGCGCAATCTGGGATCAGACACTCAGGTCTATTGGGAGGGAAGAGGTGGGTAGATGATGCTTTGGATTTCCTCCTACTCTTCCTTTCAAAATGTAATTACTTTCATCTAAATAAACACAGTCACAATATCCCACTTCTTTCAGTGGCATTAAATATTAATTGAATTAAATTTACAATATAATGGATAAAATGTTATCTTGATGAGTGAGTGAACATGACAAAAGAATTTACTTTCAAGGCATGTAGTTTTACATCTCAAGTGGCCGTGTTTTTTTTAAAGATAAGTGAATTTTCAAAAACTGATCTGAACATTGCTATGGTGGAATGCAGAAGCTGCGATCAGTCACAAGGATACCAGTAGCTTAAGAACTATGCACAAATCTCTGTTCTGCTCACAGGCTCTTGACTGGTGGATTATTCACCTTATCTTACATCTGCATTCAGCATACAGTGCAAGGATAACAGGATTACCAAACACAATCTTTAGTCCAGTTTATCTGTATTGTAGTAGCATAAGGTTTATATAGGAGTCGCCACACTAGTATACATACTTATTTTTCTAAAAACCAAGATACGTTGAACTCAAAACTGTGTACAGATCCCATTATTCTTGAACTGTATACCATAGACTGAATGGAGCCTAATAGTAATATAATTCCTTTGCATTTTTAAAAGTTCCCCTAATGGCAAACTATTTTTTTATTTATTTAAAAACATAACAACATGCTCTAGTATTTTGCCTTAATTGAGTCCCAACAATTAGAGAGAGGCATGAGTAGAGTTTACTCATTGCTGATGGACTAATAAAGTTGTTTTGAACTACTGTACATGGATTGGTGGTGTGCAGCTTCATGTTTACTTTAGTGGAAGTGGTTTGGAAAGTAAAGGATCCCATAGGTAGTCAGCTCCTGCAGCTGAAGTGCATATAGCATGGCACCTGAGAAAATGATATCATGGTCTTCTGAGTACTAGACAGGCTTCTGTTGAATAGCTTCTGTTGAATATACTTCAGGTAAAGATAAAATGACAGTCTTCAAACACAGTTGTGATTAAAAGTTTGCAAGCCTTGGCAGAAATCATGAAATTTTGGCACTGAAATTAAAAATATGTCTGATCATGCCAAAAAACTGTCTTTTATTTAAGGATAATGATCATATGAAGCCATGTATTATCACATAGTTGTTTGTGGTTGTTTTTAAGGAGTACAATACAATACTTAAACAAAAATGAGCTGCATGGACTAGTTGCCAGAAAGAACCAATCCCACCAAAAAAACTCGGTTACAATATGCCTGACAACACCTTGACATGATACTACGGGCTTTTTTGTGGCATTGGCACAGTAAAGGCTTCTTTCTGGCAACTCGACCATGCAGCTCATTTTTGTTCACATATCATCGGATTGTGCTCCTTAAAAACAACCATTCCGTCTATTTCCAGAGCAGTCTGCATTTCTCCTTAGGTTACATATGGGTTTTTCCTTGTATCCCAAACAATCTTTCTTGGTCTACCTGACCTTGGCTTGGTATGAAGAGATCCCCAAATTTTCCACTTTTTAATAAGTGACTGAACAGTACTGACTGGCATATTCAAGGCTTTGGATAGCTTTTTATACCCTTTTTTCCATCTTTATAAAGATCCATTACCTAGTTATGCAGGTCTTTTGATGGTTCTTTTCTGCTCCCCATGGCTCAGCATCTAGCCTGCTTAGTGCATCCACATGAGAGGTAACAAACTCATTGACTATTTATACACACACTAATTGCAATTTAAAAAAACACAGATGTTAATTAAATTAACCTTTAATTGCCAATTTAACCTATGTGTGTCCCTTGTGTGTCTGTACCAAGGCCAAACGTTCCAGGGTATGTAAACTTTTGATCAGGGCCATTTGGGTGATTTCTGTTACCATTATGATTTTAAAAGGGGCCAAACAACTGTGATAATAAATGTCTTCATATGATCACTATCCTTAAATAAAAGACCAATGCCAAAATTTCACAATTTCTGCCAGGGTATGCAAACTTTTGACCACCACTATATTACAAAATTATCTGGTCTAAATAAGGCATAACAATAAATTAAAACTGATCACCACAACCTGTATTTGATCTTCTAAGGCTGTAACTAACACTATAAAAAGGCAAACTGATATAAGACATAACATACTAAAGAATCATAAAATCGAAAAAAAAAAACAAGGAGTGTATTTGGCCAAACTAGGGGTCTAGAGCCAAGATAGCCACATGGGAAAAAAAAAATAGAAAGGGAAAAGAGCCTACACAACTGGCATGCTCTTAGACTTACAGCAGTCATCTTCTCCTCGAGGCTAGATGTACCTACAAATACAAAGGTCCAAACAGGACATATGGCACAGCAAACTCCCTTCCAGGGGCGGACTGACCATTTGGAAACTCGGGCACTGCTCGAGGGCCCGGGGTCAGTAGGGGGCCCCATAAGATGCCCCTGGTACCTTTTTCATAGGCTTTTTTGAGTTTGGGCAAGGACACAGGGGCCCCATGATCCCCTATTGCCCGGGGGCCCATGAGTTGTCAGTCCACCCCTGCTCCCTTCTATACCTGGGCACACAAAATTTTCAAAATCTAAGGGAAGAAATCTAAGGGAAGACATAGCAGAAAAGTAGGGAATAGGGAAGATTTCTACTACTCAGATGCCAGCAGAACATACTGCGCAACAAATCTACCTTTTTTATACCTGGGAACTCTAAATTGTCAGAATCTAAGGGGAAGACATAGGAGAAAAGCAAATTCTAGGGTAGATTTCTACTACAAGAAGAACAAGAGGCATAACACAGATGCATAAAGACGGGAAATTGTAAGAGATTTACTGGAAATTGGTCTGTGTAGCAAATCTGGAAAACAAGGGCTAACTACCATAAAGACAGAGGATAAAAGCTAAGCAACATGTTAACAACCCAGAGCCCAGCTATGTACAGGTACTGCAATGGCCTATGCAGGTATAGCAAAGCTAGACACAGAAAAAGACATACAAAAGGGGCAAAAATGCAAGTGTATAAAAGGGACCAATGCTGAAAAGGATTTTACAGAAATGTACAAACCATCAGTTACACTGCATCTGTTCCTACATGCCTGAAAAGTATGTGTATTTGAAACTGCTGTAGAAAGTAAATGTTACATTAAAAATAGAAACATATAACTGTCTGTAGAATTTCCACACAAAACAGTGACAATCTAGGGTCACTTTGGTTACATGCCAGCATATGGTGTTCATTTGTGGGAAAAAACCATAGTGCAAAAAATCCCACACAAATCTAGGCAGGATAAAAAAAACCTAACATGGATTCCATTCTGGTGGAATTGAACTCATCAGTTTGACATCAGTTTTATCTAGTTTGTCACAATGCTTCAAGTTGACAGCAAATTGTCTTGAAAGGCCACAGTTAAATGCTGCTTTTTCTTACAAGGTTCTCTTACTAGTATTGCAAACACTGCATTCAAGACCTTTCATGCCAGTTGACTGCTGCAAAACACTGGCTTTTCTAGCAAAGATACTAGTTAAGAGAAGACCATCAACAAAGACATTAACCATGAAATAATGATCATTCATCGAATCAGTTACTATTATGTATGAAGAATCCATCTACTCCAAAGTGATATTTAGTTATGGAAAATGGTGAGCTGAGTCATTCCCTGACTTCTTAAATGTCTTTGGTACTCCAAAAGTAATATTTTTCCACTATAATTCCTGAATCTTTTCCTATCCACGTAGGCATTTGGGTGTAACAAGTAACCCAGGGCTTAAAATTTTGAGTCTAGACCTACTAGCCAGGCACAAACCTTACTCTCCACCAGTTGCCCCACCCAACCTTGCCCAGGCCCGCCTCCAAAACATACAGGCAGGCGGGCAGTAGGCCCCAGGTGCGCCTGTCACCAATGACGGCGCCGGGCAAGCACTAGGACCCAGGAGCACCTGTCAGGAGTCAGGCGGGCTATTTAAACTCGGCTCTTGCAATGCTCAATTGCCGTATGGTCTTATCTGTGTTCCTGAGTTCCTGAAAGTAGATTGTTTGTTGCCGACCCTGCCTGACCCTGATTTGCTGTCCGTCTCCTGTTCTGATCCCTGGCTTTGTCTGACCATTCTCCTGCTTAACCCCGCACATTCTGACCTCCTGTTGGTGAACATGGCTTGTGACCTGTTTATCCCTCTGCCTGCTGATTCTGTACTACACCGCCACCACTGTTACCGACCCGGCCTGCCCGACGCTGCTCTAGTTACCTCCTCACATCAGACTCTTTCCTGCTATACACCTTTTACGGTGCCTCTACCACAGCTGGGTGAACCCAGGGGCCGCGACCTGGTCTTGGCCTGCTCCAAGTCCATCCCCACCATCAGGGGCCCTGGTGAACAAGCAGGTCGGAGCTTAGATTCCACGCCTTGGGGGATTCCGGTCT